TAGAACAAAATGTACATTGCTAGAGATAGAAAATAAAAAAAGGAAGAACTTGTTTGGCTTTTTAAAGCTGAAAGAACTGAAAAATTCAAGTCTCAAGTTGCAGTACTGAAGTATGCTATCTTGAATGATGCAGAAGGCATTTAAAAAAGATGCATGGAATATGCAGCATCACTATACCAAAAAGAATTGGCTGGTAACAGAACCATTTCAGGAAGTAGCATGTGGCCAAGAACCAATAATAACAAAAGAAGGAGTTCAAACTGTATAAAGGACATTGACAAAAAAAAATAAGGCTTCAAAAATCAGTAAGATACTAACTGATATGTTTCAGCTAGCAATTGTACCCTTGGACATGCTCACCAGAACTCTGCTAAAAAACTTGGAATATTCCCACTCCCCATAAAAGGTGATCCAGCAGAATGTGGAAATAACCAAAGAATATAATTAATAGCACATGTAGATAAAATTTTGCTGAAGATTATTGAAGTTACTGGAACAGTCCATTGACAGAGAACTGACAGAAATTAAAAATGGATTTAGAATCAATCATACCAGAGATATCATTGCTGATGTCTGGTGGATCTTGGGAGAAAGCAAAGAATACCAGAAGGATGTCTATTTAGGTTTTATTCACTATGAAAAAGTGGATCAGAACAAATTCATCTAGCATTGAGAAGAGTGTGCATCCCAGTACACTTAATTGTGCTCATCCAAACCTATGCTTAGACCAAAAAGCTGTTGTCCAAATAGAGCAAGGGAGCACTGGATGGTACATCAAGAAAGATGTAAATCCAAACTGGATTCCTTTTCTCCATAGTCAATCTGTATGCTGGACAAATTGTTTGAGAGGCTGGAATTTTTGAAGAAGATTGTAGCATGAGGATTACAGGAAGAAATATAAACAATCTGTATTATACAGATCTCACAACCTTGTTCTCTGAAAGTGAAGAGTACTTAAAACACTTGCTGCAGAAGAACAAGAACTAAAATGTTCAATCTAGATTAATATCAATGTCAAGACCAAAAATCCTCATCACTGGGCCAATAGATACATCATGATAGTTTGTGAAAAAGATTGAAATTGTCAACTCTTTAATTTTACTTGGATCCACAATAAACGCCATTGGTATCAACATTCAAGAAATTAAAATATAAGTCACATTGGGGGAAATCTCCTGTCTAAGACCGCTCCAAAATGCTGAAGATTAAGGGTATCAGATTGATGGTTAAGGGTCACCTGATCCAAGCAATGATCTTTTTATTTACTTCATATGCATCTAAAAGTTCAACAATCATTATTACCATAATCTGGAGACCCAAGAAGGAGGATGGGATGAACTCTCATCCGGAATTCTATGCATCTTTCTTGAGAGGAGATCCAAGTAAGCCACTTATCCTAATGAGAGAAGATGCTAAGAGATAATTTTTTTACATCTTTCAAGTAGTGAACATGTTTATAGGAGATTTTTCAGTGGTCTTTGTCTTCATCTTCCATCTTCACTTAT